ATATAGTTTTGCGTATCTTATTTAAGATACGCTTCACTGTAACAGGCTGCACAATAATTATAGATAAGCTCTACTTTACCCATGCTGTTCAGGAACCCTCTCAGTGAGGAACGAAGCCCACTGGCTGACACAATAACTTGAAGCAGGTGGACTACAAGAGCACCAGACAGCCAGTCCAAGACCTGTTGGTAAAGGAACACAAATACAACTTACAAATGCAGACAAAAATAATTCAAGTTTACATAATCTTGCATTTTAAGGCATTTCGGGGACTTTTTATTTTTTTCACTTTTTCACGATGGTAAGGCTATAGTAAGGCATGTTTTGGGAGATTTTTGAAATATTCATATAAAATACTTTTTGGCCTTTTAAACACAAAATATTCACTTGGCAGCAAGTTTTACGATATAGTTTTGCGTATCTTATTTAAGATACGCTTCACTGTAACAGGCTGCACAATAATTATAGATAAGCTCTACTTTACCCATGCTGTTCAGGAACCCTCTCAGTGAGGAACGAAGCCCACTGGCTGACACAATAACTTGAAGCAGGTGGACTACAAGAGCACCAGACAGCCAGTCCAAGACCTGTTGGTAAAGGAACACAAATACAACTTACAAATGCAGAAAAAAATAATTCAAGTTTGGATTGAAAAAAAAAAATTACCTGCCGAATGAGACGAAGTATCTGCTGATGTATTTGGTGCATGTGTCTGACTGCTTGTTCCATAGCGCCAGTTGTAATTGCTTTAAAGCTAAAGCCGGGTCATATCACACACCAGGATATTCATCTTCTGACAACTTCTCTCAGCACATTGTACATTTCAACATATTAATGCATTAGGTCAAAAAACTCAAACAAAATGAAGGATCCACTGACAAAACTGTATTGCCCTTCAACTAATTTATTGATGTACTGAACATGGGAAAAAAAAAATATCCAAACACAAAGTGAATAACATGTACATCCTTTTAAATACTCAAAAGTTATCCTATTCCAAAAAAAAAAAAAAATCGCTGTGAACCAAGTCAAGACTATACAACTTTGAATAAATAATCATTCTTATAATAGGAAATGAGAAGGTTGGAAGGGTTTTTCTTGTCCGGCCATCAATACCAATTTTTCTTTTTAAGACCAGATCATCGCGAGCGCAGGAAATTTTAAAGGCTTTGCGATCGACTTTGAGGATGACAGGTCAGACATGAAAAACGTGAATCCAACCCAAAGCAGCAAGTACCACAACTCATCTAGACTTAAAGTTATCTTTTACAAAGAACACAAAGGAGGAATAGATAAACAAGAGAAAGCAGTTGCGAAGATAATCATATAATCCATAGCACACTGCTCATTTGAGGGGAAGCATGACGAGTAATCGGTTTAAATATCAAGCAGGATGCAGGTGCAGGTATTCAGTGCATCAAAGGCCCCACCGGCCTAACGGTTTGTTCAGGAGTCTTCATGTTCCCACAAACGCCTGTCACCACTACTACTGATAATGCAACTGCTTCACTGATCTTCCCCCAAAAGTGTTTAAAGCAATTTACACCTTTTTTGAACAATTGTAAAGACAGGTTATATGCATTACGTTTATATATATATATATATATATATGAGCATGAAAAAAAAAAGGAAACCAAAAGAAGAGAAAAAAAAATCCTTCAAAATTGTGGTTTTTATCCATTCTTTACCACATAAATATATATCTATTATGTTGTATATAAAATAACAGAACAAACCCAAATGTCTATAATTTTTTTAAATACCTTTTTTTTAACGAAGCAAGACTATAATCTACAGACCAAACAACCAACAAATTTGATGCACTGTAATGCTAGTCCAGAAGACAACCCAAAAATTTCAACACAAAAGGTAAACTTAGTTATATATGCCCCAAAAAACCCTTATACATACAGTAATCAAACAAAAGTTATAGTCATATCACACTTTCCAATGAAAGTCCAAACTAGAACCTAAAGAATTCTGTTAAATATCAAACATAAAAAAAACCAAAACATATTTACATAGCTCAAAGCTCGCGAGTAAATTTTGGTTCTCTTCACCACACTTTTTTTTTTTTTTAATCTTAAGCTTTCTGCCAACCACGGGCTTGTCATCATTCTTTCATACAAAGTATGTAAAAACCCTCATGGTCAATATTAAGACAAAATCCATCTAATGATACCTTGAAGGTACACCACAAAACACCATGTGCTCCATTTGAAGGGAATCCTTTAAGAAGAACTGACTATCACCCCCCCTTTTAACTCTTGACGATGACTGCGCTTTTTTTTTTATTTTTATTTTTTACATCTGCATGCACATTTTGGCGAATAAACCCTTATGTTTCTGTACGTTTCCCAAATCAAATTGGTAAGTGAATTGCCAGTGTTAACTACAGGGACAGGGACGAATGGGGTCGGGGGGACGGGCCGGGGAGAGGGGCATGGATGATTTTACAGATGAAACCAGCACTGCCATTGATTCTAGAATCTAAAGATTATACAAAGATCTCAAAATGTATCTTTTACATCATAAATCTCTCCAGAAATTTCAACCACTGCAAACTTTCTTGTAAAGTTCAAAAGCTCACAAGGTGTCATATGAAGATATTTCTCAAAGTATCCAAGTCAAAATATTTTGTTCCAGGTCCAGTAAAAAGTTTTCTCCAAATTTTTCTTTTTATAAAAATAGATGCTTTTTAAACCCACATCAAAGAGGTTCTTAGCTCTTTGGCAAGGTACTGCTTTAAGAATTTTTTTTTTGTCTTTTATCCATTATGTTTTACAATAAGCAACATTATGCAGCCAACCGATAACCAACTGATATAACTACGAACAGAGAAAATTAAGTAAATGCAAAATCGATCAAAGTAAGTACCGGCAAACCACGGAAGGCCAAAAGGCAAATTAGAACACAGAAAAACACAAAGAAAAGTCACGACACGTAACTTCACAAGACCCAACTGTTTCAAAGCAGGTGTGCAACAAAATGACCAAACCTATAGTAATGTTTTTAGAAGGTCCATCAGTAAAGACAGCAAGAAGTCAACATCACAGGCAGACCTGCTTTTTTTCCTCTTTTAAAGTATATTCAGAAGATTCGAAGCCTAGCAAACAAAAAGGAAGAGGAAAAAAAAAAGATACGCGGAATATTGTTTTTTGTTTCTAACACTGATTTACAAAGCTGTGTTTTACTAATGTAGAAAGTAACACTTGACACGCTTCCATTTTCTTTTTTCCTCATATTTGTGATGAGTTTTCTGGAAACAATCTCAGTGGGTGATTAGGCTTTATGTGTTTTGTTGGTTTTGAACGACACCTGCAGTACCCTGTCCCCCAGGCGATATCCGTTCAAGCTGGCGATGGCCACCGCCGCTTCGTCGTAGTTAGTCATGGTGACAAAACCAAATCCTTTGCACTTGTTTGTGTTGAAGTCCCGAATGACTTTCACATTTGTGACAGCGCCAAATGGACCAAACATCTGCCAAAGGATGCTCTCATCGGCATCTGGAGCCAGGTTATAGACGAAGATACACCAGCCGGTGCCTGCGTGACCCGGGATATTGATGCCGGCTAGGCTGGTCACTCCATCTATGGCCATGGGTGAAAACCTGCTGTAAAATTCACAAAGTAACATGGTTCACCGTCAGGAGTGCTGGTTCGCGTAAACCTCACCTCAAACCTACCACGATCAGCCTGACTCAGTGAGGGCCAGAGCCAATCAGAGCTATGTTTGATGGCTAGAGGGCAGAGCAACAACACTGCCAACACTGAATTTTTTTTAATATTTTAACTAAACTAAAATTTAAAAAAGTCAGAATGACTTAGTTTTAGAAATCCAAGTCTAAATCTATATTGGCTAGAAAAAAACACTGTGCTGACACTTTAAATGGTTGGACTGGTTTATATTATTACATTTATATTTAGGTGTTTAATATCCTAAATACTTCATTCCGCAACAACACAAATCCATGCTGGGCTTTGTGATATTTGACACTGATTACAAGAGGACGATAAGCAGTGCAGTAGCAGAGCTGAAAATCACAAATCCTCAAAACTTGGAAAGATTACATGGGAAGCATTTGGATTTACATTAAAAAAGACATCAACAAAAACACTTGCAGGTTACGCAAGGAGTCATTAAAGTACCACATGACTAAGTAACTTAAGCACACAGTTATGCAATGCATTGCTCTGTGTAAAGCAGAACTGTTAGCAGAGGATGGAGAACAGACGTTAAAGCAGGCAAAAATAAACTTGTTTTCGCCCCCACCTCATCTCAAGCCCTGCCAGCTGCTCGCCAGGACGTGTTAACAACAATTAGAATTATATATTATATAGTATAGTTATATAGTAATACTTATATAGTGATATACCAGCCCTACACACTGCTCCCGAGGCTCTTAAAGCTGCCCACTGATCACCGTAGTGATGGGTTAAAAACAGAGGCTCAATTTCGTTGTATTCCCGTGTTACAATGACAAGAGACTATAATAATAATAATATATATTTTTCTGACTTTATAATATTTAGATTTTTCCTTATGAAGTTTTATATTAGATTGGTAAAATTTGTATCATTTGAGTGGCTTCTAGTAGATATTTGGTGTAATAATGGTATAGGTTTATATAACAAGCTCAAAAGAAATATAAAAAATACAATGTAAAAAAATAATCATTTGAATATTTAACATGAGATGCAGTCGATATTTGAATCAGATTTGAAGGAGGGTGTTGACTGCCCTAGTCTGTACAACTGTACCATCACAAATTTGCATGTTGCCCTAAAATCCATGATACCTTTAGTGAACATTTGTTTGCACATTGCTGTGGTATAAATGAACGTGTGATGCGTTGGGTACAGCTGTCATACTGGGCTTGCAGTTCAGCTTTTCTGCATATCCTCAGACTATGGATGTTGTTAAAGAGGCTATCAAAATAGTTGGTGTAAGATGAGATGAGACCCCTTTTCCCAAAAAGGTGGCATTTGCTTAAATGAGCTGTTCTTTATTTCATATTAACGCTTCACCCTGCTACCGTTAATTAATGCCCTGCCTTCGGAGCATATGAGGCACGCAATTTTAACTGCTTACTGGAAGAATGACAGACATAAATTTCTCCGCCAATTCATTTTTAAAACAATGGTAAATAAATTATTTGATTGTCTCAACTTAGTAATGCTATTGTCAAATTAACTGGAATAGAATCATCGATGATCATCTAATCTCACAAATTTCTCAGTGATTGATCACAGGTCCGGCCAGAACCATCACTGGGTCCAGATAGTCATTTCAGTATGTTGTGGCTCTACATTACATTTTTTAACAAATATATGTCTAAACTATGTTACTCAGTAAAACAGTATTACTGGTCATAATAACTAGTAATATCTTTCTTATTCTTCATATGCCTTTAATTTTGTATTACAGCAGCAGAGCATTGATTTCAGACATGCATTAGAATTAGCGATTATGAGACTGACAAAATTCAAATCACCTCTGCTGGAAAAGATGCAAAAACAAACTTCTGGCAAATGCATTATGTTGATGGTTAGTCAGTTTTAATTTGGGCCTGAAGTGAAATAAAAAGCCAGACCAGAGTTCTGGCCTCTGCTAAATGTGGTTTTACAGTTGGAGAATATACTCAGAGTGCATGAAAAGCCTATGAATTATTACAGCAGGTGTCACGTAAGATTAGCTGCTTCACTTGGCCTCTCAGGGAACATCCACCATGACAGGTGTGCTCGCAGCATTACAGACCCAGAGAGAAGTGGCGAGCAGGGCAGAGAAGAAATCACTCTAATATTCTTGAGCTTTCATGGGACCGGATAAAATCGTACCTGAGGAAGGTACTTTATATTTATAAAACTCTACTCTGACAAACTGGTATCGTGCTGAATCCCCAGTGAGTTCTGATGCAACTGGCCTTAAAATGGGACAGGGCTGTCCATAATAGATCAAGGTGAGTGTCACGCTCAAAGTACAAGTACGCAATTGTGTGCAATAACAAGAAAGGGATTGTAAAATTCTGTCTTTGTAATGTAGACAAGATATGTTTTGACATAATGCTCTTATTAATGAAACCAAGTTTTATCACTCTGCCACTAATAATTCACAGTAAAGAGAGTGAAACAAATTAAACAAATACTTTAGTCTTTAAATATATATTTTTTTTTTTTTTTGTAGTCCAACAGTGATAAATTAAATTTTCTTTGTGGTTTAAAATGTGGGATTTAAACTCATTCCTACATTAATTAAAGTAATCTGAAAGTGGTTAATGTGCCATCGTGACATAGCACAAAACTGCACACAACTAAATATGACCTCTGCATTTAAACCATCACCAAGGTGAGCAGTGGGCAGCTTGGGGACTTGGTGCATGGGGACTGTGTTATGGTTAGCGCACCTCATGGTATTAAATTATCAGATTTTTTAAAATTTTCATAATATCCTTAATTGATTTCAAGTTAGCATCCAGGGAAAGTAAAATATTTTTAATTAACTCAGCTAGCAGCTTGTCTGGCAGAAAAGTGGTACTAGGCCAGGTGTAGGTGCTAGCACAAAGGCTAAAGGATCAGTTAAGAGAAAAAAAAAAATCTATTTACCTTTTTACTCCATATGCCATGTTCAGCAAGTTGTCCAACCTAAAAAATAAAAACAACAAAATAAAAACAAAAACACATTTTAATATAGATGTTTTGAGTTTGGTGATCTAATTTTACAAGATGACAGAGATGAGTAATACATCTGGCACCATATCTTTTGGATTTACTTATATATTGCACATATCCTCTATTAAAATACCAATTAACAGAGAGTCCATGCATAGTTAAAACATTAAAAAAAATACAAATTTTTCACAAAACAAATTTTTTCAATGTTTTAAGTCAAAACCTGAAAAGCATACAAGATAAAAATTCTGAGTGCATTATTTATTTCTACATTTACACCTATTGAACTGTCAAAAGTTTCAACAGCTTCCTCTGAATTATCCAGAGTATTGCTCATCTCATTTCCATGTGCGTGTCATAGGCTTACATCTGCAACAGGAGGAACACAACAAAGTTGGAAACATGGATATGGAGGATGAATAATTCTGTTCAGAGTACCGAGGTCCCTCCAACACAGAATGTTTTTATTTGGATGTAATTTCATTTTGATGCTAGGAGTAAAAACACCCTTAAGGGTAAACTCAACATCAAAAGAAGGGTTTATTAATTAGACTTTGCTTCTGTTTTTTTTGTTTTGTTTTTTGTTTATTTTATTGTTTTTTTTTGGTGTGCCCCTTTTACCTGAAGCGCTGTGCCTGCTGTGCGAGGGGTCCTGGGTACCTTCGATTGGGTGACTGATACAGCTGTGACAGCAGAGCCTGGCTGGTCTTCTGGCTTGGGTTATTCGCAAACTTGACCGTTATCGGTTCGGTGGCACCTGGCGGCTTCTGACAGTTCAGGCCCTTTATGGCCTCCTCAGCTTCGACACGCCGGTCAAAACGTATGAACCCCACCCCTCTGGAAACACCTGAGACAAGGCGAGAGGTCGCGGGTTTAGTATAATGTTTAACACAACAAAAATATTATTCAGGAAACAATAAAGCAACTTGACTTCCCTGATGTGAACCAAGAACTAATTTAATCTGATCAGTCATTTAGACAGCACAGAAGATCTGGACAGTGAAGAAGATAGCTAGGATGTTTGAGAAGCAGTACCAGGCTCACTATCATGGAGAATGACAGGTAAGAGTAAGACAGACTTAAACGCATCAATGTCACATGAACAGCATTCTCATCACTGGACAGCTGACAGCCACAGTCCTGAGCTTTTTCTTTTGGCTGTTCCTCTTCAGGGGACGCCAGAGCAGATTAGGCCACCTTTTTGGGGAAAGGGGTCTCATCTCATCTTACACCAACTATTTTGATAGCCTCTTTAACAACATCCATAAATCTTCTGAAGTCTATCTCTTTTCCTTGCCTGGCACCTCCATATTCTACATCTGTTGTCAATAATTTACATCCATGGATGTATCGCAATAATTCCTATTTTCTTTTTAGAAAAACCACAAACTCATTTCATGGTCTCATAGCATATCTCCATACTTTCCTAGTCTCCGTCCTGTTATTTCCCTGTTGATGTCAAGTTAACACCAGGTTAAGTTCATGTCCACAGGTCCAGACATCCTTGTTATTCACTGGGATGCCTTTGGTAACTGCTGTTTAGTATTATTCTTTCACATTTGAATGTAAGGTCCTCCAGTGAATAAAATGCCAATAAAAACAGGGCTAGCTAAGCCAAATATCAATTTCTAACAATAACAAATAAGAAAATTTTACCCTTTACCAGCTGTGGTACTCACCAGTCACTTGGTCCACCAGAATGCGTGAGGTAATGATGCGTCCATATTGAGAGAAGAGCTGCTCCAGTTCTTTCTGAGTCATGGTCTTTGGCAGGCCACTGACGTACAAATTAGCATCTCTGATGGAGGCTGAACTGGGACGAGCATAGGAGACCTACAGGCGAAGACAATTCCAATTAACATCACTCACAGGACCAGGAGCTCAGACAGGAAAGGGCAATGTATGGCACTTCTGAGAAGTTAGTTTCAGGTCTCAGCTGACTAAAATAGTTATAATATCATGCTGGTAAGCTGGAGATATGATTGTTTATTAAATTACTCTCTTCTCCCACAACTATCGTGTCCTCATAGTAGACTTAGTACACACTATGGCAGGGGTCTCACACTCAAATGAGCTGAGATGGCACCGTGTCACTGGATGACCACATCAATATTCAACAAAAAAAAAAAAAGTTTTGTAATTTTTGTGAAACACAAAAGTACTACATACTACTATAGTGCAAACAGCTAGTACCTCATTCTTAGATGACCAACTAAGTTTTAAAAGTTTTAATAATAATTTTTCTTTTCAGCTTTGCCCCTTTTTTCAGGGATTGCTGTGGTAACCCCTCAAAATTAAAATTAAAAAAATTTAAAGTTTTAATAATTAAAAAGATAAATAAAATAGAAAATACTGTTTTTTAAATAATAAACACTATTTTGAACATCTATTGTCACAGGGCTGTGAGTGGCCCCTGGGCCAGGAGTTTTATACAAATAACTAAGCAATTACTTAAGGTAATTATCCACTGACATGTAATTGAAAAAAAGGTTGTTAACCTAATAGTTTCAAAAAAGTTTTCTACTTAAGATTTCCTCTCAATACACCTGAAACCAAAGGTAATTTACAGCCTAAAGGAACAATAACAAGAGTCCTACTATATAATGGTGTGAATGGTGGACATTACATCATTTAGTGGGTCCCCTTAAGAGCCAGGAACTGCACAAATAAAATTGTATTGGTAAATACACAAAAAAAGGCCAAAATGAATTGGAAATCTAATTAAACAGTTGTTTGCTCATAACAGCAGAAAAAAAACCCACCACCAAAAAAACCAAAACAAATAAACATGAATGAGTAAACCTTTAGTCGTTTACCATTTTCATACATTAATTTGGAAGAGTGTCAACACCGCAATAATCTGTTCTGGTTTACTGGTCCATTTATCATTATATTTGTCCTCCCTGAGCGCAGCAAGAATGCCTCATCATTTAAATGGACAGTGACGATCAGTCTGTCCAGAAAAACTACAGCTGGCACTTTGGATGTCCATCAACACGGTTGCAATCCTGACAGAGATCGATGTTCCTTCAGGCCTGTGCAGACAGCTCCCATTAAAATAGAATAAATACAACTTCTTAAAAATTACGATAGACAGCGGTACAAATTCTTCCTGTAACTAATTTGTCCCATAACCCTGTCTGGAGACAGCGATTGTTTAGTAAATTCCCAGCAACAGGCTACAATTTGTGCCACATAATGCGTTCACATATGTATGTGTATACAAGAAATCAAAAACATAGACAACTATCAAGGTTCATTATTCTTTGTGGGCCTCTTAATCAAGGACACTTAAAACACACAGAAACCCAGACAGACTAAATTTTGGAAGTAAATTTGTAACAATTAGCACAGCTGTGGAGATGTTTAAATGTGAATACAGTGGAGGAAACATAATCCGTATTCAGACTGAATGGTGGTGACTGATTTGTCATGACTTTCTTTTTCTTCTTTTTACACAAAGTTTCTAAATACAATCTAGTTCAACAGCTTAAAGTTCATAACACCCTAGATTAATTCTTTAATAATGTGCCAAGTTCAATGGAAATTTCTACCTATTATTAAAAAAATGACTTACAATAAGAAAAGGCAGACAAATGCATACAAACAAATGCCTTCTTCCGTCTACGCACCTCCCTCTACCACACTTCCCTGCCCATTTTCACCTTCACACTTCATTTGATGCTAATATTTGCAAAGTGTATTCCTGTACCTTGCCGAGATTTATTTGCACTTCTGAAACAGCAGCTTGAGAATTTTGATGTGTGATTTACAAAAAAAAAAAGGCAAGAGAAAATCCCAACGGTGTTTTTTTTTTCCTTTCCCTTTTCTACCATGAAGCAAGGAGAGGCAGATAGAGTAACATAGCACTCTTAATAATACACAAAAATAAATCAACAGAAATCAATGTTTTCACAGCCATGAACATTTTCCAATTAGTTTTTTTTTTTTTTTTACACAAAACATCAGTCTTTATCCCCATGATCATCTGTCCAGTGCTATGCACCTTTTGTGGATAAAAAACGCTGTGAAATAATATTACATTTAATCATCTGCTTCTGCCAATGGCAAATTCTGCAATACTATATGAAGCAGATTCGTTTTTCCACCAGCACATTGAGTACTACATTGCCTGATGAATGCTAATGGCGGCTACCTTCCAGTAAAGGCATACAGCAGTGCTAGAGCACATGCAACCATAGAAACAGTTCTGCTCTACTTGAGGCCCAGGCAAGCTGCTTGTGCCCAGATTAACAATAGGCTTCCTTCTCCACCCCAGACTTTCTCTCCATCTCATTATTACTGGAATCCGTATGAAAAGATGGTGGTATTTCTGCAATGCTTACAGGATTCTGGGAATTTGACACAAGTACAATCTGAAGAGTCTGTTGATTAAAACGCCTTTTGAGGAGTACACACAATTTAAAATAAAAACCACCTTACCTTAATGGTTTTGGTCTGAAGTCTCAAGCCATTTAAAGTATTGATGGCTTTTTCTGCATCCTTTGGATCCACATAATTCACAAATCCATAGCCTAGACTCTGGCCTGCAAACAGAAGCAGATAATGCATATAACACCAAATAAAGATGAATTGCTTACATAGCTGTATGCAAGGGAAACAAAAACACATCTACTTAAAAAGTCAATCTTTGGTTGGTATAAATAGAGTAATTCAGGAAAAAAAATATTTGAAAGCAAAACATAGCTCAACATCCGGTCCTTTTTTTCTGCCTATTCTCAGACAAATATTCACAATACAACAAATTCTCACACCAATTCTTAAATTAAAAATGACAAGTTTCTCTTCACCAACTCAACTCAGACTGCAGTCCTTTCTCTCGCTCTCTTCAGTTTATCTCTTAAATGTACAATAGATTGACACCCACACCTTATGTGCACAGAGGCAATTCAATTTCCTCCACCCACACTGGTAAGTCTCTGTGCAATTCGCATGCTGGTCAAGTTCACCAGCTCCAGAAGATTGAGCATATTAATACAGTAAGCAACTGGGATCTCAACAGATTTCATACAAGAGGAGACAATCTTACAATGTCCAGCCTTCTAATTAGACAAATGAGAAAAATACAATGACTCTGGAGCCATATTAAATCCCATCACATTTATTGTTTTTCCTCCCATTGAGTTTTGAGAGATCTTGGGGAACAAAGCTTTACTTGTAGATCCAAACACGTGCATCCCTTCTACCATGTCTACCCACTGAGTCAATATCTCTCTGGGGTTCTGCGGCTGAGATTAAGTGAGGTTCATAAACTTAATTTCACCTTGCATCTCAGGGACTGCTATCGCCAGGAGGAACATGCCTAGGCTTTTGAACTAAGCTAGTGCAATGACACTTTTTTCTACTCTGGCCCCAGGGCTGATTTGTCTGTTCTACTGTATGTGGGCACACTATGCCCGTACGGTGATGTCTTCCTACAGAGCAGCTAATATCCGCTACGCCCACTGCTACGACTGGGAGGCTCCAAATATGCTCCGATAACAAACAACTTTCTGCTGTTTTCAGAGGTGGTGGAATGCAGTCGTGCTGGGAGAGATGGGCAACTGCAGCAACCCAGCCCTTATCTACAAATGATAGCAGCCCACTGTGAGAGTTAAATGATGGGAAGAAGTAACTGCAGCAAAGACAAGAGCCACAATCAATATGGGAGTAGTTAATATGAAGTCCTTTTTTGTGTTTTTTTATATTTCTGACATTTAATATAGTTACAAAAGTGTGTCCTTAAACATTTCACTTTCCTATGATGACTGGATGTCACTGGAATTAAACAGATCTATTGTAGTACCAGAATGATGACAAACCTTTCTTAAAAAGGCTAGTTCAACTGTGGCTGAGTTTTTAAAAATAAAGAAAAGTAAAGGTTAATTTGGTTTAATAAAAATCCAGTGTACCATTTGATCTGTTTTATATAAGTATAAGTATACTTTAACAATCTCATGCATGATTGGGCAAAAATAAGAGCTTCTTCTCCACAGTTTTGGGAAATGTAATTGTGGTACTGTTGAAATTGCAGGCCCATATTTTACATGTAGACCAGGGTCTCAAAATGGGCTGAGGGCCACTTCCTCCTCCATCATATTATGTGGACCACACCAATGTGTAATTTTATATACACACACATATATATATATATATATATATATATATATATATATATATATACATA